CTCTGTTCATTCAGAATAATTAAATATCAGTGCCTTCTTTTCTCGTTGATGTTTAACGTCGGATAAATAGTAAAATATCTCAAATAATACTTATTCATTTATGTTTTGAAACAACCCGCGAGGATCCGCAGATATAACTACTTCTCACATCCGATTGGTTAAAAAGCATAAACCCCGCCCCTTTTCGTCCCTATCGGACCATGGTCTCTGGGCTATTTTTCATTCAGTTTAATACCTCCGAAGCGAGGCCGCTGTTGAGCAAGGCCGCATGTCAGTCAATTTGATTGAAAGTTCGATATATATACGGCCTTGATATTATGTTTAGTTGTGGTTAAAATGGGAGTTTGGATGTCGGTATTATACGCTCTTTTGTCACTTGCGTTTGAAAAATTATGGAAATTGATAAACATCGCATCACCCCAGTTGAATTGCAGCCCCATTGGATCACTGTTTCCTATTTGTCTGCTTCGGGACTTACGTAGGCCTACCAGTTACAGTACAAGAGTACACACAGGCTAACAAGAAGTCGGCTATAATTATGCCTCATTGATTTGGTCCATTCCTTTCAAACTTTCGTTCTTATCTATATATTAAAAGTCTTATTTTTAATTTGTAGTAAAAATAAATGTGATACGAATTGAATTGCAACCCCGTCTCAAACCGGATGACTAACGGTGCCACAGCCATTGAAAACGTTACTTGATAATCGAGATTATGTAGGTGGAGTTAACACCTGTCAATCAAACGATCGGCCAGTCTCGGAGACGGTGAAAAGAGAGTTGACTCCTATTTCTAGACAAAAATTACAATGATGATAACTTTGTTCAGAATAAAGTAATTTGACTGAAATTTTCAATATATTCTTCTTTCATCATCTATTTTTGAACTGTTATAGCAAGAATGGCCTTAACTCTCTATTAAAATCTCCCATAATGTATCTTAATATATCCAATTACATCGGTTAAAAGAAATGTAATGTCACGATGGTAGTAAACCGATCTTTAATGTGTGAAAGTCGTGAGAGAAGTATTGGATTTATAATTCATTATAAATGTGTCTCTCGTCTGCTTAGGGTAAGGGGAGATAAGAAATTTGATTGGTTGATGCTTTGGGACACGATAACTTTGGTACTAATTAAGTGAGAGTGATGAAACTTAGTGTATAGCTTCATCATATCAATGCCTTGACTAAGTTAGATAATGATCATTTTCGGCATAGCCAAAGTATAGAGACTCCAATCTGATTGTTCGAGACTTTGGAACACAATAACTCCTTCTACTTGAGGTAGAATGTATGAATATAATGAAAATGTAAAATGAAATTTAATGAATTCTTGTAACCTGATGTTTTTCGTGAATAAAGATTATTATTATTATTATTATTATTATTAAAACTTGGTGTATGTGTCTGTTAGGTGAATGGCTTGACAGAGTTTGATCATACACATTTTCCACTACGCCAGTCAATAGTGTCACACTTTGGACGAACACTCAACGAACAACTTTGTCAAAGATGAATATTTTAATAATCCAGCATGGTCAGTGAAGGAACTGGAAGAGAGAGACACACTCGTTTACGCGAGTTAACAATACAATCATTCAGTACCATTCGACTCGGTACTGGCGCTAAGGCTAAGCAGAGATAAGCAATTTGATTGGTTGTGAGTTTGGTTTTAATTGGGTGAGAGCGATGAAACCCCGAGTATAGATTCGTTAAATCAATACCTTATGACTAAGTTCAATGATGAGAATTTAATTGTTCAAGAAATTGGGACAAAACAACTCGGCTTTCAATTGAGGTAGAATGTTTGAACTTGATCTTGACTGAGTTCAATGGTTAACATTTCCGCTAAAGTTAAGCAGGGCTAAGCAATTTCTTTGTTCGATGCTTTGGGGCAAGTGTAGCACCATGGGTCTTCTGTCAGATGTGGAGAGCGGGCGTTGCAAAACGGGTCGCCACATCCTACGTACGACCCATGCATCTTTTCTTACTACATATCTTAGTAGCCTTGTGATCGTCTAGAATTTGTCTCTAGCTGTTTTTGCTTCTGCTTCACGTTGTGTATTTACTTCTTACAGTTTTCTTAAGACGTTTCTCTTTCCAGGAATAACAATGCTACAGTTTGTTTTTACATGTTATATATCATATGGATACAATGCATAATAGAATAAAGTCATTCTCTCAAACCTCATTCAGCCAGACTCGTTGGGCGAGTCTGCTGATAGAAACTGCACTCAGATGATAATCTCTCCGGAATCTAATGGAGGTCTGACTTAAAAGTTACTATGATTTCTTTTATAGGACTCATGGATATCACGCACAGAAAAGCTTGTTCATAGCCTTGAACCTGTGAAATTTCTGATATGATTGGTTACTTTAGCCAAATGATGTAATTAGTTAATTTCCCAGCACGTGTAATCTCGTGGTATTTTATTGACACATACAACCAGCTATGTTTTGGCTCTGTAAGTCTTTTTACGTGTCAACTGTCACTTACTAAGTTGATTTTAGTACAATTCTACATATATGTGAATTTAATAACTTGCCACCAAAAACATTAATTAATGAAATATACTGCTCCCATTAATTTCAAGAGCAAAAATTCTAGCAATATTATTACACAAGACAACTTCGATCCTAACTAATAGAGAGTGATAAGACTTAGTGTATTGTTTCACTACCAGGTACTTCAAAACCTTGACTGAGTTTGATAGTGAACATTTTATGCTAGACTTAGTATAGATAATCGGTTTGAATGCTAGATACTTTTGAAACAGATAATCTGCAATTAATTAATATGCGTCATCTATTTGTTTGAGGATTTCGGCGGGGGACATCAGCCTCAATGTTGACTTGCTTTTAAACAAATATTTAATATGTCCCAATCACGTTGCAGGAGATCAGCTCTTTTTTATGGTTTAGCATTCGTTGTAGAGACCCGAGATTTTGAGGATTGTGGAAGAATGAAATTTGTTCAACTCATCTATTTGATTTCATTAATTGGTTTCAGCCAAAATTAAATATGTGATATCAGTAAGCTGAAAATCGACTGGGTATTTGTTATCAGTCTCTACTCCAGTCCGTTATATATAAGGATAATTTGTGTTTTCCTTATTTGGCGTCACTTTCTGTTCTTCAAATCTTGGTTACGCGTCTACCGTAACAATAATCTCTATGTTAAAATTATATTTGGAACGTGTTTAACCAGTTCTATCACATACGTAATAATGACTGACACCAATATTGTCCTTTAAACCCCGATGCGGTGGCTTAGTTAGGAGTTTGTGCTTTGTGTATTAATTGTGGAAGACTGAAGTAGAAAATATAGAAAGTCAAAAGTTAACAAAAAGTATGCAAAGTCAAAAGTTGACAGTAGAAAGTATGCAAAGTCAAAAGTTGACAGTATAAAGTATACAAAGTCAAAAGTTGACAGTAGAAGGTAGAAATTTTATCCATGAAAGTAAATTTACGGTTGAAAAGTTTGATGGTTTTTTTCAGATTAAATGCATTATAGGTTTCCGCCACAAAAATACCCTTTAATGCTAGGTTCCAAATGTCGTGCGATTGTCCCTTTTGAGTCCACGATTCGGTAAGTGCCGATCCCCTCAATCATACGTTTCAAAACGATCAACATGATTGCCAAGACTGACCGCAATACATGATAAGACTTGATAGGATCACCACAATTACTCCACGATTAAAACCACGATTTCAATCGTAGCACGAATCGTGATAGTGGAAACCTAGCATTGGGTAAGAATTGTCGTATGCCCGTCTTTAGCCTGGCTAGGGCAGACAAGCTGGAAATCAAACCCTATTTCGAATCTGTTCCATAGAGGTATTGCGATGTGACGTCACATCACGCGGCTTCAATCATTGGCTTAATGGCGCGTACATTGTTTACATAAGACGTTACTAGCCCGGACAGAATGGCGCCTTTTACTCATTATACATACCCATTTACATTAAATAGGAAATAATTTTTACTTACATATACTTGAATCAACTTTATTTATTTTTCTAATGCTTAAAAAATGTTCTAGAATTTTTAAAATTTGCAGAAGGATAAAAGTTAACATTTGGGGCTCATTAAGTCGCATCGATGTCATCCCTATCAGTGACTGTAGCGGACTAGCGAATATTCACTGCTGATCAGTTAGTCTCGGTCACCCAGAACCTCCTAGTCTTCAACGTACGGAGGGTCTGAGACCCTTGTCAATATTTGACGAAAGGTTCCATTGCCTATGCGTAACCGGGAGTTTTTTTTATGTGGTTGATTATCCAGTATCTTTGGCCAAGAAGTAAGAGTTGCGCCCATTCCCGCAATAAATTCCATAATTCTTTCATTATTATAAACAAACATGAATCGTGACGACGAATTAGCATTGATTAAAAAACATAGATATGGCCCACGAAGAGAGACATTTTACAATAAAAAAAATAAGAGTGTTGGATATTGAACTGGCAATGCAATCCAATGGATTTTCTGAAATGGCATGCTTAAATTAATTTCATGGACGTCGACATTTTGTTTTGGGACTAGTTACCTCCCTTAGACTTTGTTTATGATAATGTAAAAGACCGGATAATCTAGTCAATGACCTACTATTTTCAAATCTACTATTCGTAGATTATTTTTCTGGATGACAGAGACTACTGATCAGTGTGCCCTATTTCATTTCATGGTTGTTTACATTTTCCAGCTATTGAAAATTTGTATCTTTCAGAATCGTCACGATGCAGGACCGAGGGCCTGGCAAGGACAACTGTCTAGTCGTTCGGATGGGACGAAAAACCGAGGTTCCGTGTACACATTGGCGTGCACGTAAAAGATCCTTTGACAGTTGGAATTCGATATAGGAGTAGTCCATAGTGCCGCTGTCAGGGCTAAATTTCCCTCATAGCACACTGTATGGCGTACGCCCGTCTTCATTAGCCCAGTTCGGAGCAGAACAGCAGGACGTTAAACCCCATTTCATTTCATTTCCATTTCATTTCAGAATCGTCACGGAGTAAATGTACGCCCTTTTATATAGAAACAGAACAATGTGGATTACTGCGACCGGAATTTGTCAAACAACTCGTCAATTACCCGGATGTCTTCGTGAAGGATAAAGATGAGAAGGACAGAGAGATAGTGCGCCTAGCACCAGATTTAAAGACACCCTTGATTCGCACGGAGAAAGTGAATGCCGTAATGGAAGAATTAAGAGCAAAGGATTTATTTTGTGGGTTGAGAGGATGGAGAAATGAAGTAAATATTTGTATATATTTTCGATTCTTGTGATATTGGAGTCGAAATTTTAATATTTGGTTTCGGATTTGTTAAAATTACGTTGTTAAAAGAAACAAACACGTGACCTGAAGAGGTTCAAGAAAACTGAAAACTTGCCAAAAATATATTTATTTATTTTTTCAAAATGATTTGTGATCTATTTATTTATCGATAAATCGCTAGTCTTCACTTTCAATATATTTTCGTTTCTTAAAATATTTGAGTCGAAATTTCAGTATTGCGTTTCGGATTTGTTTGTAAAGGAACTGATTATTCGTTTTTCTGCGGGGGACATCAGCCTCACTGTTGTCATTTTAATCATTGATTTGATAGTATACTCCACATTTTAATCTAACTATTAGACCATCCCATTCGGCAAACCTCGACAGATTCTACGCATAGTTAGATGTAAGGTACCGGAATCCGCCGAGGTTTGCCGAGTGAGACCATCCGTGCCAAACTTTAAACAACAGACAGTCTTTTTTTTTTATCACGGTTTTGAATGGTGCGTGAGGGTGTGTACAGGTGTGTGTTTCAACTTTTATTTTTAGAAATGTTTGATAATATATATCTAGAATTTCAATGAACCTAATTTGTTGTTTGTTCTTTTTCTTTAGAATTATGATGTAAAGACCAAGTTCAGTAACCAACCGTTGATGTGTATTGAGAGAGCCGCTGCGGGTAATTCAACCATGTCTTTCTCTTGGATGTTGGAAGGTTGTATGGGCCGTCCGGATGGTCAAGGGGGACAGTCATTAAAACAAACCAGGGGCTTTGTGATTGATTGAGTGACATGATGCGTGCGCTTTAGATCGCAAGATATGGCATTGAGTTAAATCGCGTGGTTACGGACCTAAGAGTGGACCTGCCTGCCAAACCTCGTTGGTTTTCTCTGGGTCAATGGCACTGTACAATTAAAATAAATAATTTAGTATTTTACATGAATATAAATATAGTATATTGATAGTTAATTAATTCGTGAAGGTCCTTTGGAAAAGATACGTTTTTAGTGATTTCTTAAAACTATCCCGAGAGTTTAGAGTTTTTGTTAAACTGTCAGGTAGATCATTCCATAGTCGTGGATCTCTCAGCAAATGTTTTCCTTTTTGTAGCTGGGACGTATAATGACTGGCTGTTTGAAAATCGTGTCGAATATCGGTTGGGACTGGGTTTAAGTAAATCAATCAAGTACTGGGGAGCAAGGTTATTTAAACACTTAGGCCTATATACTAGAAGCAATAGTTTATATTCTGCACGAGCATGTATAGGCAAAACTGATTGAACTGGTATTCCTCTTAGACATTCAACACGGGGGGGGGGGGGGGGGGGGGGGGTGGATGGCTGAATGGTTAGCGTGCCGGCGCTGTATCATAAAGTCTGTCATTGAGTCGACTGGCGTGGTTTCGAATCCCCGGTTGTACGTGACAAGGAGTAGGGTCCTCCCACTGCTAAAGACCCCTATGCGCAAGCGAATTATTGAAATAAAATTAAATCATATGTTAGTCCCGAAATGACCTAGTTTGTGTCCCGAAATGACCTAGTTTGTGTCGAGTGGACGTTAAACCCCATTTCTCTCTCTCTCTCAGAGATTCAACTCTGGTAAGATATTAATTTGCAACTTACAGGATTGAAAATCCCACATGTTATGAGGGGTGGGGTGTTGGTGGATGGCCGAAATGGTTAGCACGTGCGCGCTGTATCATAAGGCCTGTCATTGAGTCAACTGGCGTGGTTTCGAATCTCCGGTTGTACGTGACAAGGAGTATGATCGCCTGTCCAAGAGACTTTTAGCCCAGTGTTTCTGTCCATGTATTTTCAGATTTACTAGGTATCGTACACTATGGTGTACATGTAAATGGTTATTTCTACAATGATTCTGGTGAATTAATGATGTGGATAGGTCGAAGGTCACCAAATAAACCAACCTACCCCAACATGATGGATAATATGGTAATTTTACATACAATTTTAAATGTCAAACCATTTCATGGTTACTTAATTAGACAGGGGGGGGGGGATAACTCTGAAGACGTAGGCCTACGTCCAACTGATAAAGAAATGAAATGGGATTTAACGCCATACGGTGTGGTAATAAGGGACTTTTCCCCGGACAAGGGCACAACGCTTACTCTTTTTTGGAATTCAAGGTTTCTTTTACGTGCACGCCGATGTGTACGCAGGACCGCGGTTTTTCGTTCCATCCGAACGACTTTATTTAGCGTGACCGTCCTTGCCGGAATAATCTCTCCGTGGTTAGCGAGACAACCCTAGCTGGAACAATCTCTCCGTGTTTAGCGAGACAACCCTGGATGAAACAATCTTCCCGTGTTTAGCGAGACCGTCCTAGCGGAAACAATCTTCCCGTGTTTAGCGAGACAATCTCCGCTTGTTTAGCCAGTCAAACCTGGATGAAACAATCTTCCCGTGTTTAGCGAGACCGTCCTAGCGGAAACAATCTTCCCGTGTTTAGCGAGACAATCTCCGCTTGTTTAGCCAGTCAAACCTGGATGAAACAATCTACCCATGCTTTGCGAGACCTTCCTAGCTGCAACAATCTCCCCATGTTTAGCGAGACCACCCTACCGGCAACGATCTCCCCATGCTTAGTGAGTATCTATAGGAATCTGACCTATCCCTGTACACCGAAAGACCCTAATTAGTGTCTGTTAAACCAATGTTTCAGTTGCGTAAGATCTAGATATGTATTGATGTTTATTATATAATCAATCTGTGATCAATATGTATACAGGTCTATTTATTGTTTGGATAAGCCCTGTTCTGGGAATCAACTGTTCGATCATGGTGTCCTTGATTACGCGTTGGTTTTATCAGCTTTTGAAATGCACCGTTTCCATAGAAACCAATGATTGCACAAGGTTGTTATATCACAGAATATTGGCAGACGCTGTGGCTGAGAGAGTAAAACACTGGCTCCAGGAGCTCGCGTATTCATCCCCGGTGTTAACCATGAACGTTTATCGGGATTTTCGGAGCGGTTTCCCCTTATAAGTGGTACATTCACTCAGCCGGTGCAGAAAAGTAGGACGTTAAACCTCATTTCATTTTTCAGAGAATATTTATGCGTTCAAGTCGTATTTACGGTAATCACGGGATTCCGCTGAGCCTCATTTGAAGGATTTTATTTATTTGTTTATTTATTTATTCTGATAAAAATAAAAAACTGAAATGATGTTTAACGTCCTACTTTTTTGCATCAATCCTACGCCAGCGTTTCCGCCTTCTCTTCGTGGAATTCCAAACTAGCAACGGTTCTTTTACGTGCACGCCAATGTGTACACGGGACTAGAAGCCGCTCCTTGCTAAGCGTTCTGCTCTTCACCGCCGAAGAACATCCGGAGGAATTCGGAACTTCCTGGTTAGTAAGCCAGCGCGTCACTCGCTGAGCCACAGAGGCTGGCAGCGCGTTAATTACTGAACCAACGAGGCTGCCCACTTGGAACTATGGTCTCTCTCCCTCTCTACTCATCATATTCTGTCAAAGCTTCTTGCACACCAAGGATTAGACACCCCCTTGCCACCCTCTCTCACCACCCTCAGGACTAGGAAATCTCGAGATAGAACCCGAAATGCCGGTTAGTAAGCCTGCGTCATACCCACAGAACCAATCATAGTTATATGAGTGAAGACGTATGTTTTAGTGTGCTGGTGGGTTGGTTGTATGAGTGAAGTACGTTTTTGTGTGCCGGTGGTTTGGTTGTATGAGTGAAGTATGTTTTAGTGTGCTGGTGGTTTGGTTGTATGAGTGAAGACGTATGTTTTAGTGTGCTGGTGGGTTGGTTGTATGAGTGAAGTATGTTTTATGTTTTAGTGTGCCGGTGGTTTGGTTGTATGAGTAAAGTATGTTTTAAGTGAGCCGGTGGTTTGGTTGTATGAGTGAACACGTATGTTTTTATATTGTAGTGTGCCGGTGGTTTGGCTACAGGATTAGGTGTACGAGAATGTATGATGAAGGAGTGTGCAGAAGAAGCTTCAGTCGAAGATGATGATTTAAATAATCTGGTGGCAGTTGGGACTGTCAGGTATTATTATTCACAATCAGAAACTAAGAAAAATAAAATAGAACTCCATTATTCGGTTTTATGTAGACCCCCCTCCCTTCCTACCGTTTTGCATCATAAGGCCGGTTATTGTGTCAAGTGGCGTGGTTTCGATTCCTGGGTAGTACGTTACAAGGAATAGGGTCGCCTGTCCAATCTCGTGGGTTTTCTCCGGGTCCTACTGTTTTTACTTCCCTCTGCTAAAGAACCCTACGCGACAATCGAATTATTGAAATAAAATTGAACCATATATAAGTCCTGAAATGATCTAGTTTGTGTCGAGTGGACGTTAAACCCCACCCCTCTCTCTCTCTCACCAAGGTCCAACCATGTGCATGTTGTTATGCACATAAAAGGCAATCTTGAAAGTTGTATCTCGATGTGAAGTAGGTGGAAACTACTCTGTTACTGTTAGGACAAAACGGTCCGCATAGCACACTGCTGGATTACACCCACCCACTTTAAAACACCATTTCGTTTCATTTCATTTCCATACCTTCCCATCAGGCCCTGCTAGTGATATGTTCGCTGACCCTGATAAACACGGATAGAAAATTCCCACATTGATATACACACTGGCGTTTCATAGGCTACCAAACCGGAAGTTCTAGAACAGATTGTTGTCAAACGGCTGACATGGTATTCAAGTATGTCGCGATGTCTTTGCCTGTACCAATATAGTAATATTCATTTAGTTATATGACGATTATATTCCCATGATTACCAAAGCCAGTTAAGATTTGTCGCATACTAAACTTACACTATCTGTCTACAATTAGCTCGGCTAGAGAACAGACACTAAGCTAGATGACCGACATTTTAAGTCCTAAACCGATGATTTTAGTCGAAAATACTAATAATTTTTCGAGAATTTTGAGAAGTATATGTTCTGCTTTCATTTAATAAAATTGAAAAGGTTTAATTCGTCTTTTTGTGTATAACAGATGTGAACCTGAGTAGGACTGCATTACAAAAACAATATACTAATTGTTGGATATGGCGGCCATTTAGGCCAGAGATATAGTCTCGAAGTAGATAGTTCTCTGTGTGCCGAATGTGCCCGAAGATGAAAGATTCGTTACTGTTCGAGTTAAGCACTAACCAGTGGTATGAAGCCATGGTTATTGAATGTCCCTTTCCTGGACTAATAATCTCTCCTGATAATTCAGACACGCTTGAAACAGAATTTATGGGGGTATTCTGATTGATAGACCATAGTGAAGATGTTATGTTTACTAATAATTTATGGATGTATTCCCATTGCTAGACCATAGTGAAGATGTTATATTTACCAATAATTTATGGATGTATTCCGATTGATAGATCATGGTGATGATGTTAGTTTTGCCAATAATTGCATGTTGTTTATCTTTACAGTTATTGTTACGAGGATGAACGGGGCGTCTTCCCAGAATGCCAGTTTGTATTTGACCTTGAACTTACGTCTGATTTTGTTCCTGAAAATGCTGATGGTGAAGTTGGTAGTTTTGAGGCCCATCCAATTAGCAAGGTCACTTTAATTTACAGTAATAATTGGCAGCAAAACCATCCTCGGTGGAGACAAACGTTAACCTTTCTCCTCGATATCCCCCACGGTGGGGATTAACTTTAGCCCTTGTCCTCAATTTCACTCTCAGTGGAGATGGGCGTTAACTGTTGTCTGTACCCCCCACCCCCCTCCTCCTCCTCCTCTTCCTCCTCCTCCTCTTCCTCCTCTTCCCTCAGTGGAGACATACGTTTATCCTTGTCTGTAATATCACCCACGATGGAGACGTATTTAAACTCTTGTCTGCGATATCACCCATGTAAAAGTTGAACGTTAACCCTTGTTTGCCATATCAACCTCGGTCGAAGCAGATGTTAACCTTTGTCTGCGATATCACCTTCGGTGGAGGCGGCTGTTAACCTTTGGCTACCATATGAACCTCCTTGAACCTCCTACTGGGCTAATGAAAACGGGCAATTTTGCTCGGGCAACAGCGCTATGGCCTGCTGCTACATCGAATTCCAACTGCCAAGGGATCTTTTACGTGCACGCCAAGGTGTACGGGCTAGCGAGGTAGCGTCTTACCCACTTAGCCACCGTGGCTCTGGTAGTGTTAGGTAAAATCATATGAATCTCTTGTATAATTCCCACCAGTGTCATCTGGTTTTTTTTTAATTAGCTATTTATATTTATTTCTTCAGGTTCAAGAATTGATAATCACCAATGATTTTAAACCAAATTGCAGTTTAGTCATTCTGGATTTCTTAATACGTCATGGTATCATATCTCCCGAAAATGGTAAATATTTTGGAAAAAATGGGGGTGGGCGGGAGGTTGAATGGTCTAAGTCGTGCGCTTCAGATCGTAAGGTCTGCCATAGCGTCATGTGGCGTGGTTTCGATCCCAAGATTATCCGTAGCAAGGAGTAGTGTCGCATGTTTAACCACGTGGGTTTTCTCCCACTGCTAAAGACCACTAAGCTCAAGCGAATTGTTGAAATAAAAGTCAACCATGTGTTAGTCCCGAAATTACCTGGTTTATTTCGGGTGGGCGTTAAACTCTTGTTAAAGTCCCGAGGAACAACGGATTTTACGAGGGGGCTTCATATACATAAATAAAGCATATGGAGTATATACATAAATTAAAAATATATACAAAGATTAAAAGGAATGTTATAAGGAAATGAAATAAAATGGGGTTTAACGTCCTACTGTTCTGCTCCGACTGGGTATGTTATGAACATAAGATACATAAATTAAGAGGCGTAAAATACACTTTATTATAAGGAGTAAAATATAAGGAACACACACACACGCATGAAAAGGAGTATATACCTAAATTATAAGTAACATTATGAGAAGCATAGACACAAATTATAAGGAGTAAGACAAAAATAGTATATATATGTACATAACTTATAAGGAGAATAGACACAATTTATAAGTGGCATAAATTGTAAGGAATATAGACATAAATTATAAGGAGTAAGACTAAAATAGTATATATATGTACATAACTTATAAGGAGAATAGACACAATTTATAAGTGGCATAAATTGTAAGGAATATAGACATAAATTATAAGGAGAATAGACATAAATTATAAGGAGAATAGACATAAATTATAAGGAGCATAGACATAAATTATAAGGAGAATAGACATAAATTATAAGGAGCATATACATAAATTATAAGGAGAATAGACATGAATTATACGGAGCATAGACATAAATTATACGGAACATAGACATAAATTATAAGGAGAATAGACATGAATTATAAGGAGAATAGACATAAATTATAAGGAGCATAGACATAAATTATAAGGAGCATATACATAAATTATAAGGAGAATAGACATGAATTATACGGAGCATAGACATAAATTATACGGAACATAGACATAAATTATAAGGAGAATAGACATGAATTATAAGGAGAATACACATAAATTATAAGGAACATAGATATAAATTATGAGGAGCATAGACATAAATTATGAGGAGCATATACATAAATTATAAGGAGCATAGACATAAATTTTAAGGAGCATTGGTATAAATTATAAGGAACATATAAGTTATAAGGAAAATTGACATAAATGAAAAGGAGCATATACATAATTTAACAGGGGCGTATACATACAATGAGAGAGAGAGAGAGAGAGAGAGAGAGAGAGAGAGAGAGGGAGGATTTGACGTCCACTCGACACAAACTAGGTCATTTCGGGACTAACATATGGTTTAATTTTATTTCAATAATTCGCTTGCGAGAAGGGGTCTTTAGCAGTGGGAGGAAACCGGAGGACCCGGAGAAAACCCACGAGGTTGGACAGGCGCCCCAACTCCTTTTTACGTACAACCGGGGAACCGAAACCACGCCAGTGACAGGCTTCATGATACAGCGCGCACGTGCTAACCACTCAGCCATCCAACCCCGCCTACATACAATAAAGGGGGCTATTATGCATTAAATGAAGAGGGAAATACATAAAGTAAACATCGTACAACCAAACTAGTATCTGCATAAAAAAGGGGTGCTAGAAAGTTTAAACATACCCTGCCTCACGCATTATACCGGTGACATTTTATTTAGTTAAAAGTTTGTTTTTTATCTGTGTCTGTTTTGTTTTGTGTTTTTCAGAGCCACATTATGTAACATTGGTAGAACAAATACATAAACCCTTATTGAACCTCTACAGATGATCAAAGCCATTTATAGAAGAATTGATCAACCCGTACAGAACCTCTATTATTACTGATATAGTTTTATTGTGGGGATTATATTATTTACAATGACTATTTTAATTTCTCTATTTGTATACGCCCACATTTAATACGAACATATATTGTTGTCACCCACGTCTGTCCTTCCGCCCGTGGCCGAATGGTTAGCACGTGCGCGCTGTATCATAAGGTCTGTCATTGAGCCAACTGGCGTGGTTTCGATTCCCCGGTTGTACGTGACAAGGAGTAGGGTCGCCTGTCCAACCTCGTGAGTTTTCTCCGGGTCCCCCGGTTTCCTCCCACTGCTAAAGACCCCTACGAATTATTAAAATAAAATTGAACCATATGTTAGTCCCGAAATGACCTAGTTTGTGTCGTGTGGACGTTAAACCCTACTCTTTTGTTGTCACTGTTGAGGAATACTCCAGTGGTTCGATCCCGGTGTTGGCCCAGAAAGTTCATCGACATTTCCAGTATGGTTCCCCTTGTCAATAGTGCCCGACAGAGGGTTCTGAAAGGGACAAGGTATAGTCGTTCGGATGGTACGAAAATCCGAGGTCCCGTGTACGGCGTGCACGTAAAAGAACACGGGTATGCCCGTCTTCACAAGCCCAGTCGGTGTAAAATAGTAGGACGTTCCCATTTGGTGGTGCAGAGAGCCTGGATGGGACGTGCGCACATTAAAGATCCCTTGGCAGTGTAACTTGGATTACACAAGGAGTTCAAGTCTCTCAAAACAGCACAATGTAAAACAGGGAAAGAATTTCTCACAAAACAGCACAATAAGTGCAACAGCGCGAAATGGCAATAAATCGAGAATTTACGACACACTTTGAGTTCTGTACGAAGTGTTAAGAAAGTTCTGGACTGGTTTGGTCCGGCTTATATAGTTTTGGGGAAATTCTAGAACTTTGTAACTTTTTCTAGAACCCTCCAATTATTTCTAAACATTGTTTCCAACAGTTTCCATGGTTTCTAGAAGTTTCCAAATGACGATTCCATAAAGTTCGATCCATAAAATGGTAATAAACCATAGATTTCGATCAATGTGATTAAAACACAGATCCTATTTCGTTAATTTTTTATAGTTCAAAATTTCGTTTTACTTGTCTTTACTACACTAGGAACTGGAAGAGTTGTTATATTACCGGCGTTCTGGTTGAAGTGAGGTATTAGACATTGAAAACAGTTTGTTACGGCAAATTTTTGGCGTGCGATTCACGGAACTGTGGGTAAACCAGTAGAAACGTCAAGGCTGATTGATTAATCAATGCCTGACGTCAAAGGGTCAAAAGCCCCTTGTACGACCCCTCACACAACCCCTCACACAATCTTTCAATACAACCGGTCAGATCTTCATGTAGTGTAGGCCATCGAAAGTATAAAAAAAAAACGAAACGAAATATAGATTTGTATTTCAATCAGACTGGATTTCGATGAATTATCATGTCTTCATCACAATGGTAAAAGGACTGTTTCAAGCTGTGATAAGTGTTAACTATATATATATATATCGTGAACCCTCTAATTACTAAGTCCTTGTTTGGTAATGATCCCTTTTTCGTGTTTGTGGATTGTCTCCCTTGTTAGTGTGTTTTCATTTTTAGTGGAGTCCATTATCACTTCAGGACAGGGACTGTACAGCACCCACGGATCCCTTCGCTTGAGTTAATATTATTTAAATTAATTCTTACTTGCAATATTCTTATGTGTCTAGTCCGTTGGGTTGTTTATTGTGGGCTGCGGTGCTCGTGACTTATTATTAGACATTCATCGTCCCAGCGTCGATGTTTAAACAACATTTTTTGTTTCGATTGTTTTAAAGGACATAAAGCTATAATTCAGTATTATCCCTAGTCCTCGACATTGCAAACATAATGTTTTATTCATTTACAATCAATATAGATGTTGTTACCTTACCATGAAATATATATTGTTTAATTGTCGAGAGCGAGATATTAAAGTAGCTAAGTCTCTAACTCAATATCATCCAAAATCTTCGACACAGAAAACACGATTTATTTGTCGGTTTAAATCAACATTGATGTTGTGACCGTACGGGGAAAAGATGGGCTTCTGATATCCAATAATTAAGACAAAATAAACATTTTATCTTTGGTACACGAATCGTGTACCATAATGCGTTTCAGTGCCATTTGGAACAAGGGACTCAAAGAACAAGGCTAGACATATTCCACAAGTCATGTCAAATGGTGACGCTATATTCTTATCTGGAGAGCATGCGCAATAAATACCATCGGTTTAGACTGGAATAACCAGACGCTAAAGATTGTCTTCAATTGAGACTTCTGGCGTATTTCGCCGAACATAACTGATTAGAAATTACAGAAAAAACAGAAACGATTGAATGTAAATCAGTTTATATACATTCACATTACATTATTATATGCGTTGCGACCCATTTGTGTCAATTTCTAGATCCAAAATATTAGCTCCGTTAAGTAATATATTGTAACAACAAGAGGACCATAGGCCCGAGTGATTTTACAATATATTACACAATGTCTAAAAGTTCGAGACCATTAAACGTCTTAAAATACAGACACTCCGCACGAGCTTTTACAGTGAAATACGTCACGCAAGTCCAATATTTCACTAGAATAAATAATGTACCATTGGCAAGTTGTCCGTACGATTATTTGAAATAATGGTGCGCCAACATCAAAGGGTGACGTCACGTCTGTATTTTAAAGGATCCTAATATCCAATATTTAAGACACAATGATATTATAATCAGTAATTGATGAAGGCGTGTAATATATGCTCTCTGGTGCCATTTGTAATCAGGCGCTTTGATAAACGAGGCAAAGCGTCTGTGCATAAGTGAGTGTCAAATTGCCATTCGATTTGTTTCAACGAACAAAACTGATTAGAAATTACGATAAAACTTTAGATTAATGAATGTAAATCAGTTTATATACACTCATATTACATTACTATGTGCTTTTGGACCTATAAATTACGTCTATTATAAGATTACAAAGAATATGCCCTTTGAGCACAAGCTCGTGAAGGCTATTTAAACAGTAATAAGCAATTATCGTTCAGGATGTTTGAAGATGTATTTTATGATTCATGATCAATTGGGTAACTTGATATATTTAAATAAAAAATACCTTGACATTCTATTAAAGGTTACTGTGGCTCAGTGGGTAGGTCGAAATTAAAAAAAAAATGGGGTTTTGGGTCCTACAGTTGTGCATCGACCATATTCCCGAGAAATCCCTCTCTAGCCATTGCAGGATTGGCCTCTGATACTTCAGCTTTTGAGAGAGTGTGTCTATTCTTCTCGCTTAATCAAATCTATACTAAGTACAACAACATGACAGTCCTTCGTTTAATCTGGGGTCTTCCCTAAAACTTTGGACAGTGATTTAAGGTATTAAAAACGATGAAAGTATTGTTCGTCTCCAAACAGTATTGTTTACATTGTAGCCGTTTTAATAGCCTCGTTTTTGCACGCAATTAGTTTATCTGCAATATTCTGCTATGCACTGGTTAATTGAGCGTTGTCAATTTCGTGAGTCATGACGTCACTTTACTCGTATGTAAACATATTTGGAGCTCTTTTTAAACCCGAATGATACTGTTACGTAGTTAGGTATTGGTTGTTAATCAGACTATTGACCAGTCATAACTTGGAACAGAAATTTGCTTTCATTACAGCAGCGTTGAGTGGGGATTAGGCCTAACCAAACGAAACACCTCGAGGCGTATGACATCGACTGGACTAATGAAGACGGGTATACGCCATACAGTGTGCTAGGATCACACAGGACTTCTAAGTTGGCTAAATCTATTTGTTAAGACCGGCTCAATTTTTGTCAAGGTCGCTGAAATACAAATAAGGTTAGGGCACGTGATTGTTGGCGAGATTGTAGGTTAGGGTTAGGGTAAGCATTCGGACTGGCTCTTTAGGCTGGATATCGCCGGTTCGATCCTGGTGTTAGCTAAGAAAGTTCATCTGGATTTTCCGACGTGGTTTCCCCTTGTCAATCGTTCAGTTGGAGTGAAAAACCCAAGTCCCGTGTACACATTGGCGTGTACGTAAAAGATCCATTTGCAGTTGGAATTCGATATAAGAATAGGCCGTAGTGCCGCTGCCCGGGCAACATTTATCTCATAGCATTCTGTATGGCGTATGCCAGTCTTCGTTAGCCCAGTCGGAGCAGAACCCCATTTCATTTCATTTCTAAAAGGAATTCCTTTTGATATTTACAAAGATATGTTGAATTCAAAATTCAATTGATCTATATATACTGCTGAGTGCTCCCTTTGTAAGAATAACGCCGCCATCTTTATTTGCTGTGAACCAAATTGATGGGTCTGTTTTAAATCCGCTTGAATCCAAGTCGGAAGATTATCTAGCGTTGATATTGAGAACGTGCCCTTATTCTGTCTTGGGCGATGTGACACAACCCTTGGGTTATTTGTCACTAGTTCTCACAATGTTACCTAATAATAAGATTGTTAACACATAATGTTTTTAATGTCTTCAAGAGATAATAATGATTATGCTTCTTGAGTTTCTGGGTTTATGTCCTAATTTCGGTTACCATAGATTTGATTAGCGTGGATTCTAAAATATTTAATCCGTTTCTAATGGAGAGGATTATAACCCAGACTAAGACATGTTAACAATCTAAGTTTAACTGGACAAGAGGGATTATCGAGTTAATGGCTTAATCTTTAATTTAATTAATTGTTAGTGTACAACAAATATATGTTTGTTGCACACTATGACAATATTTTGAATTTGTTTTCTTAATTAAATTTAAAATAATCAGTATGTGTATATGTTAGCGTGCATTAAGTCGTGTGAAATTTGATGTTTTCCGAAAAATGTTAATCACCCTTGGTTACTTTAAATCAAAAACAGGTTGACATTACGTAACAGGAGTACCTGTGTAACAATTGTACTTGTTAATAATCTAATAGAAATAAAATTACTAGTGTTGAAAAAAACGTCTATGTGTAATTTTTGTCTTGTCCGTGGGTTTGTCTTGTCTAGGGAGGGGGGGGGGGGCGAATGGCTAGAGCGTGCTCGTTGTAGCATAAGGTCTGTCATTGAGTCAACTGGCGTGGTTTCGTTTTCCCGGTTGTACTGACAAGGAGTAGGATCGCCTGTCCAACCTCGTGGGATTTCTCTGGGTCCTCGGGTCTCCTTCCAGTGATAAAGCCCCGACACACAAGCGAATTATTGAAATAAAGTTGAACCATATGTTAGTCCCGAAATGACCAAGTTTGTGTTGGGTGGCCGAATGGTCTGTCATTGAATCAAGTGGCGTGGTTTTGTTTCCCCGCGTGTACGTGACAAAGAGTAGGGTCACCTGTCCAACCTCGTGAGTTTTCTATGCACCCCCTCACCCCCACCCCCCCAACACACATCACCGCTAAAAAGCACTACGCGAAGCGAATTATTGAAATAAAATTGAACCATATGTTAATTCCTTAGTGATTTTTTTCACCCTATGCTTTTATTTGTCGACCTCGACTATCATGAGAAAACAAATAAGATACATTACCATGACAACCGTACCTACACCGTTCATAAATAAAATACCTTTCTAACTAAGCTGTTATTACAATCGATTTCTACTTTCGATTTTCGATCTTTACTCTATTAATATAAATACCTTAATTATTTGAGATGTTTTTGTTTGTTTATTTTTTTGTGGAACGAATAATACTGCCTCATAGATTTTCAATAATTAGAATTTTAAATTGGAACGCCTTTCTTTTTCTTAATTAATTAGTCGTTTTCATTAGGCCGGCTGTAAACTCCATTTCTTTTTCATTTTGTTTATGTACTTTAAACCTCAAAGGCGGTGGGATGGGGGTGTTGGTAGGCCGAGTGACCGAATGGTCTATCGCACTTAGTTTGGATAACCATGGTTTCAAAAAGTTTAGTGAAGTGGTCATTTTTAATTCTACCACCATTGATCATTGGCTCTTACGTGCTATTCCAATTAATGAAGCTGGACGTGTTCTTAGCGAGAGAGAGAGAGAGAGAGAGAGAGAGGGGAGGGGGCTTAACGTCCACTCGACGCAAACTAGATCATTTCGGGACTAATATACGGTTCAATTTTATTTCAATAATTCGCTTGCGCGTAGGGGTCTTTAGCAGTGTGGGGGGGGGGGAGCCGGAGGACCCTGAGAAACCCACGTGGTTGAACAGCGACCCTACTCCTTGTCACGTACAACCGAGGAACCAAAACCACGCCAGTTGACTCAATGACAAACCTTATGATGCAGCGCGCACGCGCTAACTATTTGGCCATCCAACCCCTTCGTGTTGTTAGCGCTATAAATCTCCTCGTAAACTACAATACAGGAGTATCAGTCCAATAATATTTCAATTCCGTTTAGTATTTACAAAGATTTGACAATTCCATCGATATATTATGTTGCTCCCCGTGTAACAAATCCACAGCCATCTTCATTTGCCGAGAACCAAATTTACTGGTCTGTTTTAAATCCGCTTGAATCCAAGTCGGGAGTTTTCTTAAATAAATGTTAAAGATACATTATGGGAGATTAGATAAAGAGCTGGCAGTTCTAACTATAATAGATGTAAATGAAATATCCTGAAAAATTTAGTCAAATTGCTTCACTATAAGCCGAGAAAACCTTATTTAAAATTCTTTGTAGCCTCAATTGTCATTGTTAACTCTGCCACGATAATTAACAAAGTCTCGATTATTTTGCGTTTAATCATCAATGAACGTTCAACAGAAGATCGGATACAAATCCAATGAAAATCGGACCGATAAGATTGCATCAAGAGTTGATTATGGTCTTTTTATCTTAATAAATGTCTAATTAATAATTTATATAACATTTCAGGCCTAATAAAGAAAGACCTACAATAGGCAGATTTACCTGTTTAAATGCATGTTTAAATAATCAATCGAAGTACATTAGCGTGGATGAAGCCTTGATAAACTTGATATTTTCCCAAAAATGCAAATCATGCATCGTTACTTTAAATAAAATGCACTAGGATTTGGTGCTGCCATGGACACAAGATCCATGTTGCAACATAGACCTCCAGTATTACATTATTCTTATAGACAAATCCTTTCTTGTTCACGAACGATTAATCGAATATTATGATTAACAGGATACCAGTAAAGTAGACGGTTATTTTTTTCTAAAATGAATTTTAATCAATCACCTACCGGTAAATCTTATAGAATACTTAAATAGAAGTTTGGATCAAAGAAGCTTTAGTTTTAAAAATCCTATACGTTGTCAGATTTAATGTTTTATCGCCCGAGGTTTAATTTCTAAATTGAATCAAAGAATCTTTGGTCGATTACGGTCCTCAAAAGCTAATGGGTGTTTTTTGTCATTGCTATAGATACTTACAAGGGGGAATTAAGGAAAATTGTCTTTGCTTGAATTCTGTCGAATATTGTTGGAGGTATGGGCCCCCTACCCCCACCCCAACTCCGTGACCATTTTCCTCATGTTTCTAAATTTTAGTCTATCCCACTGGTTCAGTGAGTAAACTGCTGGCTCATCAACCGAGGGCCTGGTACTGAAGGGTGTCTATAGTCGTTCGGATGAGACGCAAATCCCGAGGCCCCGCGTACATGTTGTTCAGAACCCAAAAGATCCCTTGACATTTAAAATTCGGCGAAATATTTTCCTCATAACATACTGTGCCCCTCGGTTGGTGCAGAAAAGTAGGACGATGTTAAACTTCATTTTTAGTCCGGGAGCCCAGTGAGATTTAATCAAAATATTGAGTCCAAAAGGTTTGAGGTCTACAACACAGATTTTACCCTTAGATCATTTTGGAAAGGCAAGTCTTAAGTTTTGTAACCTGTGCATATACCTGGGAGCGCTCCCCCTAACCCTCCCAAATTTAATGGGAGTTAAAATTCAATGTCCATCCACAATTTTCTTGTAAACATTTCATACTTAACACTAAGAAACAGAATGCATGACTTAAGAGCATAAAATGTTGTGCTAATGCTGCCTAAGAGCTTAATTAATTAGCACTGATTAGTCACCGTAATTAAAATTTAGGGTCCATAACTGAAACAAAGCCTAAAAGCTAGGTAACCAAGTCATGAAACCAAAAATATCACTTAAGAATCAGAGCAACAAAAGTTGAACAAACTTGGCTTAAGACTGGTGACAAGGGTCATATTTTGAGCCACATTATGTCCAATCAACCAGTTAAATTGCTCATCTCTGCTTCAAGTGCTTGCCCTAAAGAGACGACGAAAAACTATGCGACAAATCATGCTTTCCTTTATCAAATGAAAAGCAAAAACTGTAAAGTTTTTCCAATTATTCTAAATATTGAGATTCGGGATTCGGAATTCGGCAATAAAACAGTGGATTACTGGAGATGACTGCCCCATGCACTCTAACAAACCAGTGAGCACATAACGCGCTTTAGAAACGGTCGTCTCCGTGCTAATCGGTAACCCAATGAGGAAATGATCGGATGCAAGATATATCGTTCTCTTTTAGTGGCGAATCCCAAATCCCAAATAACGCGCTGGCTCGTTATTCGTTATTGGCGAATCCCGAATAACGTGCCAACTTCACGTTGCCAATAATGCTCTGGTTTTAAAAAACGCAGACAACTGAATAATAAATTAGACCATATAAAGATATATATGATTCGAAACATTTATGTGTTCTCCTTAACATGGATATTTGAGCGGATGTCCTCGAAAATCGGTCGAAAATTATTCGAGTTAAGATTAATGCCACCTTGGTGAAAAAAGGGTCGAAATCGGAAGGTCGTTTTCGGTATAATGCTATCAAGACTGGCTTATATACTGTTTAGATAAGATAAGATAAGATGTTAATTGCATTAAAATGTCCATTTAGGACAACATGCATACATATCTATTTAGACATAGTCGTATACATTTAATAATACATATAACATAGAAAACAGATACATATACACACAAGTAATACACTCATACAGACATGCGATACTCTTGTTGGCTGATAATCTTGTTTCATCAATTTTCATTCTATTATGGCTTATCACTCCTGAATATTTCCAATTGTAAATTAGATTTACTGTGGAGTGAGGCACAAATTTCGGAATGTGATGCTGTTTTGGGAGATTTCAACACTAGAGATACTTCTTAAAGGAGGCATGCTATGTGATTAATTACAAAATAATATTTGTATTGTCATCATTATGTTCCATACATTTTTGTTTCCTCATTAACTGTATGCCATGTATCTGTTCTTAACAATATTATATTGTTAACGATTGTAAATATGGATCTTGTACTGTCAAACTTGATGCAGCCTAAAGTAACCTGTTATTGTTTCCCACAAAAACTGTGTTCTGTTAAATTAAAGGGTGTTGATAAGAAAATTTGTTGATAATTGATAAGTCCACAATAAATAAATACTTTAATTTTAGCAGCGCACACACCTGAGACATTATCGACAATGCGGAAATAATTTCACACACCCCAACCCCGTCAAAAACAGAACAAAACAAACAGTGTAGAATATACTATGGCAGGCGCAAATGACTTCTGTTCAAGTTGGATTGTTCGCGTATTTTACCGAACATACTAAACATACATTATGCAAGAGCTAAATCTGTCAGTTGCAGGTATTTCATTAGTTATATGTTATATAATCTATTAATTAGACATTTATTAACATGACAAGACCATAATTAACCCTTGATGCCATCTGATGGGTCCGATTTTACACAAATTTAAATCTGATCGACAATGCATGGTGATTAACCGTAAAAATGGATAAGCGAGACCTGTCTATTATCGTTGCAACAGTAACAATGATAACTGAGGCTACAGTGTTCTTCAAATGAGTTTTTTCTCGGCTCAGAGTTAAGCAACTTTACTGAACTTTTCAGCATATTCTCTTTACATTATCTATTTTTTAGCTATTATAGCGAGAAGTGTCAGCTCTTTATCTATTCTTTCACAATGACGCTTAATAA